TAGGGGCTGCGGGGCAGGATGTGCCATGCTGGGGGTGCCATTGCTAGCTTTGGGTTTAGAGACCCCAGTGGCCTGTGGTGCCCTTTGGCCCTGCTGCGTTGCTGGCCCTGCTCAGCTTTCACTGACACCAGGGGAACTTAGGAGATGCAGATGTGAGGGCTGTGAATTGGCCTGGGCTTTGCTGCCTGGAGTCCTGGGGAGCATCTCCCCTGGCTGGGAGGGCTTTGCTCTTGGCCCAGCCCCTCCTGGGAGTGTTTCTGCCTTGACCTTGCCCTTCAGCCTGGGTGGCTGGAGGTGGCTTGGATTTGCCTTCTTTGCAGCATTGGGGTGGAGGATCTGCTCCTCCTGGGGCCAAGGGCTGCTGAGTGAGCAGTGGGAAGGGGAGGGCTGGCATAGAGCTGGTGTGGGAGCTCAGCCTGTGGGGCGCTTCCTTCCCTGGGGTACTGCGTGCTCAGGGGAGGGGGGAGGGCAACAGGGTGCATGCCTCCTTGGCCAGGTTGGCTTCCTCCAGGGCTGCACAGCTCCAGCTGATGCTCTCTTTGCTTTTCAAGGGAGGAGCCGGGGAGCTAGGAGCTGCCTGGGAGCCAGCATTCCTCTGGCCTCGGCTGCCAGCATAGGGGTGTGTGTTGGGCGGGGGGTGCCGCCATCATGCCTGACCTGCAGCACCGACGGTTATGGACCTCAGAATCGCCTTTGATGTTCGTCAGAGGAGCAGGGCCCCCGGGTGCTGTGTACCTGTGCCAGGCTGCCATCCAGGTTCCCAGGAGCGCCCAGCCTTTGTTGGAAGGGGCCCCCAGTGGATTTGGCAGAGAGCCCCTTCCCCACCCCTTTGGCTGGCTTTGCCCATACCAGTCCTCCCTGCGCAGCCCGGCCCTACATGCACGGTGCTTCAGGCTCCTCACCCAACCGCTGAGCGTGTGCGAACGCAGCCCACTAAGCCAGACGTGCCGCCTGGGCCCTGCCAAAGCATCTCCTGCATGCTGCTCTGTGCAGAACACAGCCTGTGCAGAACAGCCCCCAGGGCCTCGGGAAGGAGTCAGTGCCCCAGAGCCCAGAGGAGCTCCCTGGTTCCCTCCAGTGCTGGAGGCTCCAGTGGGCTGTGGGCTCCAGTGGGCAGAGCCCTGGGCTGGTTCCACTCCCCTCTGTCACAAACTGGCTGTGTGACCTTCCCCTCAGTAATATGGGCATAATACCACTCCTCCTCTCCCAAAACCCGCAGTGGAGAAGCCCAATCCCAGGGTGGGGTATTATTTGGGCCACAGCTCAGCCCCATTTGGTAGTTCTGGACTCCAGGTTAATTAGAAAAGCTGGAGGAAGCCTGAGGCAACTGTTTCGTGCCCAGCTGGGCAGGGCGCTGGCTGCCTTTCGAGGGTTTGCACACTCTTAGAATTCACACGCGTGTGACTTGACCTGGGAGGGTGCCCCGGAGGCAGTATGGCCGCCTTGTCCTCGCTCTGCACTAACTCGAACTGGGTTGGCTCACCCGCAGCAAGCAGGGCTGCAAGCAGTGAGGTGCCAGTTTGTCCAAAGCCCATACAGCCTTCCAGCTGGGCTTTAATGAAGCGGTGCAGGGCTGCGTGGAGAGTAGGCCTCTGCAGCCCCTTGGTGGAGCTCCTCGTTGTGGAGCTTGAGGCAGGGATGGACTGGAAGCTGCTCTGCTCAGGGGACAGTGAAGCTCCATGTTTGGAGCTCACGGCCATTTGCCCCTGGCTCCCCCCCTCGCCATGGTTCCCCTACCCTCTGCCATTCCAGCTCTCCATGTCAGCGCTCAATGGCTGAGGGCCGGTGTGACCCAGGAGAGCTCAGTGCATGGATGGGCTGTCAAACAAAAGCCAGTCTGGTTGAATTGCAGTCCTTTTAGTGGTGGCCTGAGAAGTTTGATCCGGTGCTTTGCTGTGCTGTTCCCACCAGCCTGCCCCATCTAGGATCTGCAGCAGAAGGCACGAGGGCCGCTTTAGCTCGCTGCTGCTTCTGTAGAAGCTGACAGCCATACTTGCTTTGGATGGATGTTACATTTCCCTTCTCCCACCCTGGCACCGTATATCTTTATAACCTGACTCTGTCAGCTGGGCTTTTTTCTGACCTGCTGCCCCAGATGGCAGTGAAGCATCAGATTTGGTAGAGTTTGGAGCAATCCCTGTCTCTGCCCATGCTGTTCTTAGTCAGAAAATGGTCTAACCCTAAACGATCTTACCAACTCGCTTCCCACTATAAAGTCCTGCAATGGCAAATGCTACCGGGAAATGGTATTGAGCTGTTAAAATTACTATCTGTTAATTCAAGTAGTGTATTGGTTTTGAATAATGGGTGTCAGAAGGAATGAACTGCATGGATTGTATCCATTGCTGGGCTATAGATTAGCAGTGATGGCTCTGGGCAGAGCCCTGTCAGTCACTGTGGACAGCTCTGAGATCTCCAACCACCCAAAGAAAGGGCAGTTGAAGAGCTAGGGTGCAGAAGGAGTTGGGGAAAAATAAGTGCTATGCTCATAAAGGCCAAGTCCCTAGCTGGAAAGCTGTGTTCAGTACAGGCCACCCAGACTCCTTTGTGGGTAGAGATGGAGTGAGGCTGCCCCTGGGAGAGCCTGACATGACTGGCCCTGGCAGAGGAGACACAATGCCATTTTCTACAGTTAGTTCATGAGCACAGCTTCATATTTGAAGGCAGAGATGTTGGCAGTCCCTTCACATTCCCTGTGAAGAGTAAAAATAAAGTTATCAGCATTTGAAAAACTTTGGCCCTGTCGCTTGGGAGGGGTGCAGGGGTGGGATGACACAACATGGTGAAGGGGCTGGTGGGGAAAGCTGTGCCCTCAGAAGGGGGGTGCATGGGGAAAGGTTTGCTTTGCTTGATGTAATAAAAGTGCTTATGATGCCATGTGGCTTCTGCTTCCCCTTCCCCCTGGCTGTGGTGGGACTTCCCAGCTGAGCAACATGGAGCTGGAGGTATGTAGGGCGGGGACGGGGTCAGAGCAGGTAGAATGGACCACAGGGACAGGGTGGTTGCAGTGCAATGACAGGCAGCAGGTTTACTCTTTAGCCCCCATTAACCTGCAGATCCTGCTACCACCACAGCTCAGAGAGCCCCAGAGCTTAGCAGAGCTCAAACAGGGCTGGAGCTTTACAGGGAGTGAAAGGGCCCAAGGCTACGGCAAGGTGAAGGTGCCCAGGCTCGGGACATGTGGGTGAGTTATCCTGCAGGAATGTGTGAGGGGTTCCTTGCATCTGGCCATGGGTCAGAGCTTGGGTCCCAGTTAGTTTTGGTAATTCACTCTGTGCACTGGGGTGCGTGCACCCTGGCCTTGTCTCTGGGAGTCTGCCCCCTTCTTCCCCTGACTGCCTTGCTGAGAGGGGAGCCCTCCTGCTTTTTCTGCTTCTTGCCTGAGCTCAGCACCTGCCTCATGTCTTGCAGGGTCCCATGATGAGAGGGTGGGTCCTGCTCCTCGCCAGGCTCCAAGCCGTGCTCCTGGCCCTGGCACCAGTGACAGCCCAGAAGAGGAGCCAAGGTGAGTGATTTCTGGGTGGGGTGCTCTGAGCACCGTGTCTGGAGACGCGGCTGGGGACAGAGAAAGCGGAGGGATGCCATGGTGGTGTTGGGGGCAGGAGTTGCTGCCTAGCCAGAGGAGCTTGGACTGAGTAGCTTCAGACTGGTCCCAATCTCCCCCTCTCAAACCAGCCCATGCCCCATGGTGTCCTCTGAGCATGGATGCTGGGAGAGTTGGCCCATTCCCTGGTCTCTGCTGCTGGCAGGGGGCAGGGAGGATGGTTACCCAGGGAGCCCTGCATGCTCCATGGCAGGACCCAGATCAGGCTCCTTCCAGGAGATGTTGGTGTGTGTGACCTTCCCTCCAACCTCCCTTGACCTCTACTCCTCCATGCCCTACCCAAGGCAAAATAGGGTGCCAGAAGGAGAGCCTTAGCTTTGCTAGGAGAGAGATGGATAGGAGGCAGAGTGGGCTACCTCCCTGACCTGCTGCTGCCCCATGTCCTCTGTGGAAGGCTGGGCAGTTTGTCTGGCTGCAGCATGTAGACAGTGCTGCTTTGGGGCTTGGCCTGGATACCACTGTCTCTTCCCATCCCACTTTGTGTGTGCACGGACCAGCACCTTCCCTGGCCCTGGGGCAGGAGGCAGCTTGGGGGCTTTGCCTTGAGAGGGCCGGAAGCTTCCCTATGCTAATGCACAGGGGTGGCGGGAGGAGGAGGACCAAGTCCAAGGACCCTGGTATGGAGCGTCTCTGCAGCCCACATGGCTCTGGCTCGGACTGGCATCTGCAGCAATGTGGTGTCTGCGAGGGGCTGTGCTAGATCTCAGAGAAGGGGTGGCCTCTGCTGTGCTCTGGCTCCCTGGCCCCTCTCGGCAGCCTGCAATTGGCAGGAAGGAATGTGGCACCCAGTTGAGAAAACCTAGTACAGGACTCTGCAAAGGGGGTCAGGGCCCCTGAGTCCCCGGCAGGGTGCTGGCCATGCTGGTGCCCTGCCTGCTTACAGGAGATACCCTCTAAGCTGTGAGGGGCTTGCCTGCCTATGTTGGGCCTGTCTCTCTCTGAGGCTCCTCGCAGTAAAGGGGCAGGCTGTGGTGGTGGCCTCTGCAGTGATCCTCTCTGCTGGGCCTGTTTCTGAGCTTCTGAGATGGAGAGGACCCCTCCTGCCTTCCCTGCCTATGTGGGTCAAGGTCATGGAGAGGACACCTCCTGCCTTCCCTGCCTATGTGGGTCAAGGGAGCTGGCCCTGAGCTGCTTGGCATTGCTCTGCAGAGACCTGCGTCAACGTCTACGCAGCTGACATAGTGTTCCTGGTGGACGGCTCCTCCAGCATCGGCCGGGCCAATTTCCGAATGGTTCGAGCCTTCATGGAGGACCTGGTCAGGCCCTTCGTCCATGTGGTGGGGGAAAAGGCTGTGCGGTTCGGGGTGGTGCAGTACAGCGATGACCCCCGGTGAGTCCCTCGGGGCCCCAGTCCCACCTCCCATCTCTGGTGGGAGTGTGTCACTCTGCCTCCAGCCTGGAGCGGTCAGGGGGGTTCTGAGGGGCAATGGGAGAGTGCCTGGTGTCGGCCCCTGCTATGGGCTGCGGCGTTCAACTCCCCTTGGGAGAGTGATGGTGACTCATTGTAGATTGAGCAGAATTAAAAGGGCTGACAGCTCCCAAAGCCTTGCAGCCCTTGAGCTCACTTTCCTGGGGACCCATCTGCCCTGCTCTGCACTGTCACCAGGGCCATCCCCTGTCAGAGCCCTGTGGTGCTTCCCCGCGGGAGACAGAGGGCCCTGGATGGCTTCTGCTGGGATCTGACTCTTGCCTCACCCTGCTGGGACCCCGTCTGCCTGCAGGGTGGAGTTCAGGTTCTCTGATTATTCCAACGGGACGGCAGTGAGGAAGGCCATCCAGCAGCTGAGCTACAAGAGCGGGAACACACGCACTGGTGCCGGCCTCCGATACGTCACTGACAACTTCTTCAGCCCTGCTCAGATCCGGCAGAGTGTCCCAAAGGTACTGCCAGGGAAACCCTGCTGGTGCCATGCCAGAGCCTGTCCTGCCTGGTCGAGCTACTCAGCTCTGCCTTGGATGGAGCAGGCCAGCCTGTATCCCAGGTCCCCCAGCCTGGGGCAGGCCAAGGCAAGGAAGCAGAGTTAGGTTCCCTGCTACTCCAGCTCCCCGTGGCAAGCCTGTCCACCTCCAATGGTGGGGGGAAGGCTGGGCGGGCAGGTGGGGAGGGAAGGTGTGTCAGCCCCTGCAGAACAATCCACCTGCCCGGCACCTGTCCTTCCTTCAGACCCCAACAGTCCTGGGGTCTCCATACATCTGTCACTTCTTGACTGGGGTGAGTCCATGGGATGGGGCAGGCCCTGCTGTGTGGCACGTGAGGGCAGTGAGGGACCTGGCTGAGATGCTCTTGCTGTGCCTGCCAAGCTGAGGTACTCACCTCCTTCCCCACCCGGCAGGTCTGCATCCTCATCACGGATGGCAAATCCCAGGATGATGCTGAGCAACCAGCCACGCGGCTGAAGAACCAGGATGTGAAGGTCTTTGCTGTGGGTATGTAGGCCATGTGACCACAAGGCTTTGAGGGTGTCTGTCTTCACCAAGTAGCAGGGAGGAGAAGAGCAGCAGGGCCTGGACAAGCCTGATCCTCTAGCAACTGGGAGGGGGCTGGCTGGTGCTGGGGCAGGAGCCCAGGACAGGCTAAACTCCAGTGCTCTGCCCTGCTTGGGAGTGAAGGGGCCAGGTGGGTAGAGGAGCCAGCAGGGCCAGGGTTAGGCAGAGGGCACTTGGGGCCCAACATCCTGACTAACCCTGGGAGCCTAGCACCTGAACCTCTGGCACACTAGAAGCCAGGATGGCAGGTGCCTGGGCATGGGTGCATGGGATGGTGGAGAGGGGCAGGATCAGGGTACAAGAGAGAGCCCTGGTGCCCCCCTCACCTGTGCTCCCCCACAGGGATCAAGAACGCGGACCGTGGGGAGCTCATCAGGGTGGCCTCCACCCCCACCGAGGACTATTTTTTCTATGTCAATGATTTCAAGATCCTGGGAACCCTTTTGCCCCTGGTGTCCCGTAGGGTGTGTGCCAGCACTGGAGGAGTCCTGCAGACCACAGGTAAGGCAAGAAAGGGGTCTTTGGTACTCTCTAGGCTCTGGCTGCATCCGATCACATCTCTCCTGACTGCATTTCTGGCATCCAAAGCCTGGGGGGCCTTACCCATATCCCCACTGGAATCAGGTGGTCCCTTCTGCCCTCAGCCCCTCTCTGGAAGATACTTCACTCTGTTTCTCAGGCACCAGCTTTGGCTGCAGAGTTCCTGGTGTTGCCTGCGAAAGGTTAAGTTCTAACCTTTCCATTTCCATGTTTCCTTGACATGATGCTGACTCTAGGGCCCAGCTCAGGCTGGGTCTGACCCTGGGACATGGCAATGGGGCTTCACCTGGCTCCAGGGCTGGTTTGCTGATTGGTGTCCAGCCTGGCTTATTCCTCTCCTGCCTCAAGCCTGGATTCTTTGTGCTTCCCTTGGGATTATTGCCTTCCTGCTG